TCATATCATTACAGATAACATGCTTCTATTTTGCCGTGTACTTGTTTGTTTAACTGTTCACTTTCCACATTATACCTTTAGTCAAAAACTCATGCAATCCAGCAATTCACGCAAATAAACGAAGGCTGAAAGTAAAATCATTGATGCCGTTAACTTCTTAAATGTACCATAGAACACACAACACATTTCACTAGATCAAGTCAATCAGACATCTACATCTATGAACGTCTGGGCACCACAAATTAACTTAACTCTCTCCCACGCACACACTGCTATACATTACTCGGCTTACGCAGCGGTAACTATGGAGACTAATGAAGCTGCATTGGTATATCAATGCAAAATTTCTCATTCGTTTTGCTTTTGTGTAAAGTTGCTCCATGAATAGCGCTTCTACAGCACATGGATAACTTATTGTACTATATTATGTACGTCGGGTAAAACTCGTCAGATTGTGTTGATGGCTCCATCTGCATCAATACCTCCCATCTACCCTCTCCTTCTACGAACACGCAATCTCCATTGGGCCCCCTATCAGCACCGAAAAACGAAATTGAAATTGCCTAGGAACGGGAAAGTAACGACAGCGAAAATCCAAGAGGATGGTTTCCAAAAACAAACATGTTTATCTTAGTATAACCTCTAATCATTGACGGCCCTGCATCCGGAGGGGAACTTGATACGTGAATAAATCTGTTCATCTATAAGCAAGATAACTCTGAACGAGGAGAAATATACGCCTTCATTTTTATGTGTATTTTGAAACTTTATTTATTTGGCCTTAAAATAGTTTTGTAGCTATATGGGCAGTAAATGCAATTCCGTATTACTAAAGATTCAGAAAACATACAAAAGCAGTGTGTTCTTTTGTGCGCAAGTATACTTTAGGCATTTGGCGAATGTAATTAGGGGGCTTGGTGATACAACTAAAATTACGGTTACATTATTTTAGTGGCAATGCCGATTCATACATCTAAACTTTCATTACTTATAATAATTTAATGAACTACATGTCATCGAGAGCTTTAAAATAAGTCATCAGCAAAGTACAGCTGCAAAATACAGAGCAACCATCTCTACATCAAATCAGCACCCTCATACGTTTTAAGTTAGGACAAAATTAAAATAAATTATTTGCGTACTGAGATGTTCAACTTTATACCAATCTAACACAGCGAATGTTATCTAAAACATACATGTTAAAGAGAATTATAGAGCTCGCAGTAGCTCTATACATATGTAAGCCTTCACCCCCCACAAAGAGCGTCTCAAGCTGCTATTAGTCGATTATTCCGATGCTAATAAAGCATTTGGATGCGCACTACCTATGATTCTCCGTGCAATGCAACTTATGCCTATTGACTTTTCTGTTGTGTGGAGAATAATCTGTTAGAAATACTACATAATGCAAACAATCCTCCATATCTTAGGTCCACTGCACAGGAGAGATGTTTATATCTGTTATGTGGCTTAGTATATATTTTAGCGACTATTACTACGTAATAAGTGGTAAAGAATTTCATGCAAAAGGCAGTATGAATCGTTGTATTCGCTATTAATTAAGAGTAGCAAAATATATGCTCAGAAAATAGGCTGCATTTCTGTGAGATTTCCCAGATAGCAAACTTTTACAATACAGAGATTATGTGTGTTTAAATGCAACGATTTCATCATCCATCACCATAGCGTGACATAATTCCAACACCTCATACATTTCCATTACCCATGGTAAAAAAACAGAAATATTTACCAAGTTTTGAAATTTAGGCATTAAACTCAAAGCCCAGTTTGATATTCGACAAAAGTTTGCTCTTCTGCAGTAGTGCATGGCTGAGATATATGATACGCGTCATGCATTTTCCAGTGTTTTCCGTGTGCAAAGCGATAAATATTTAGGTTGTTGTAAATGACTTTCAGTTCTTGGCTTTGTCACAGCGACCACACGATGAACGTAACTTTTAACCTTTAATCTAAGGGTACTAATTGAGTAACGTCATGCAGGTGCACAAAACATGTATAACTTTCGGATGAATGTAAACGAATGGAACTTCTGGTTACATGTTATCAGAAACCTAAGAAAAAGTAATGTATATTTCTACCTTGTTTCAGGTTAAATATCAGAAAAAGCGATGTGAAAAATCTCTGATTTTTCCAGATATGAAAAAATATTTTTCTGTATTTTTAGCATGTAGTAAAATGAATGGCAATTAGAAACTATTGTCTATTCTTTTTTATGATAGCCCGATAATGTTTAACATAAAACCGCTTGTAGTACCCAGTTCCGTTGATTGTAATATTACATGAATTCTAACATTCCTTAATGTTCGTTGTCATTATTTTGTGCAGTTTATCTGATCCTTTCTATTAGTTTAACCCATCCAACCCAACCGTTGGATTAGCTCTGCTTGTGATATTTGCAGTTATATGGTTAGTTTGCGTTTTAACTTGAATCTTTAGTCAAATATGCAATCTGACTAAGAAAGTAACGACCAACTACACTTCTCGGATACTTACGTTAGAATTACAGAAGACAACTTAATTGAGTTAAGATTATACTTGAAAGCCCAGACTCAATATGGCAAAATGCTCATGTTAAGATTTGCTTCAATCTGAAGAAGCGGAACACTAGATTCATCCCCAAACAAACCGTGAAAGTAAGAAGCAGCAAAATTGAGATAAACTATGGTGAATGAAACAGAAGCTTGTCAAGAAAGGTATTCAGGAACAAATCATAGACGTTGTTATGAAGACAATGAGCCGAATATTTACAATCAAACAGTGTAGAAAGAACAATTTCTCTACAAAATTCATGTTAAAGGGAACATATTGGCTCGAGTATGCACACGACGATGGAGAAAATCGGCAAAATGCTATGTTGTAACACATTTGAGCCAGTTTCACAAAACCGAATTTATACATTAAGGAGAACTGTATTTACCAGATACAGCTAGTTTGACCAACAAACAGTCGAAGGGAATGGTAGATCGCTCAACCTCAACGCCTGCTTTAAATAATGTAATCAAATGCTCTATTTCGAAATATCCGTTGCTTTCGCTTAACCAGTAAATTTTTGCCACACCTTAGAATGAACTATATGTATTATGCAAGCAAATGAATAAATGCTACAGATGAGATGTTTTTCGTTCGTTTTTCATTCTTTACTTTCTATTCTTGAAATCTGGTATTTGGAAAATTATCTTAAATTGACTTCGTTCTAGATTACTTTTGCGCTTTCGTATTCAAATGATGAAGACAAATGCACGTAACTTTCATTCAGTTTCTCAGTTCTGTTTTCAACTTATACCTGATTTGTCATTTCCTCGTGGATAAACTAAATGATGAAAAGGCAACATATGAGTGCAGCGCGCCATTTTTAGATTCAAATCTCTGATAAAGCTATTAATAGCAATGCATGGAATATAGATGCAAAAACAGTGGCTGCAAAACCTATCTTTCGTGATGGTGAAATTCACACAATTAAGCATCACTTCTAGCAAATTTATTCTATTACACAATTTGATATTTTCCCGGAAGCTGATAATGCAATTTCTTTTCCAAATTCTACTTACAATGTGCAAAGCAGAAGATTAGTGATCAAATAACCTTAATTGTAGTAGTACAGTAAATTTTGGTTTATTAATATTTATTTATGAATAGCTAGTGTAGCTCTATTTCTATATCATTGATTTTGACATTAGCAAACTATTTTTTCTACGATAGACGGGTGTTTCTCATGTGGCGGCATATCTTTTGATGACACAGCATTCTTTAGCATTTGGATACCTAATTTATTTCATTAAAAATCCTGAAAAGCTGTTGCAGACAAATTACTTTGTCTGCAGACGGTAGAATCGGTACAAATCCGATTTATTGTGGCACTTGCTTATTGTTTTGAAGGAGAAGTCTAAGTATTTCACTACTTAGCATTCGCAAGAAAGTGTGGTGGTTAAATCAATGTGATATATGTTACCCTATTCAAAGCATAGTGTGCGTCTCATGGTCCGTTGCTCAGGTGTCGATGCAGCTTAACTGCACTCAGTCATTTGTCGGGGATTAAACCTTCACTAGCAGAGTAATGAGTACTCCCTTTCATAATAACCAATGCATTTCTGCTCTAGATGCAACTTAGGGTGTATATATATATATATATATATATATATATGCCCGTCGCACAACTAATCGTGCCGTGTTTTTATCGGATTACTATTTCACTGCACTGATGTGGACACATTCGTCGTACAAAAAATTCAGCAATGCTTCCTGGAAGGTCTAAAAATTGATTGATTAAACTTTACGTCATTGCCTTCATCAGATCAAGTTGCATATTCGTAAATGAAAGCGACAGATTCCAGCTTCACACCGATTATCTCCAAGGGCAATCCTATGCTGACTTCTCGTCACATCAGGTGACGGCTCCAGCGACCACACATCTTTCTACTATAACTCGACTTTTCCTGTTGGCGACGATAGCATATGTGCCCTCCTGCTGGCTGCTAAGAGATGAAGGGCTAACAAGGGATGACCCTCTAAAAACATTTAATTTAATAGGTGGAGGTGTTTGACGAAAATGGATTTATCCTGTATTTAGGTTGAAGTAAAACAAGTAAATGCACGATTTCTATGTGAGGAGTAATGTCTGTGTTCTTAGAAAATGCTATAAAGCAACTCGAATACCTGTTTTATAAAGGAGTGTTAATTTCACATTTAACGCGCAAATAGTTTTTCTAGAACATTATCAAACCTACGTTAGCGCCAGTAATTTAGCTTTAGTAGCTTCTTTGGTTGTGACGATTATTCCTCCCAAACTTTGCGTCTCTTTCTTATTTATTTCTATGGGTGCATTTATGACCACAATATATAAGCAAGGTTTTGTTCATCCTGCATGATCATAAAATGACCGTATAGCATTGCTAAATTACTAAAACCAGAAAGCATTGAACAAGCAAATGGACATTATGCTATGTAATCTATGCAAAATCGCGTATTGCTCATGAACTTGCTTATTTCTAAATGAAGCCTTTGTTTTTCTGACCATTCTTCTCCAGTCAGTCCCAGGTAAGCAGAACTGTGGCAAATATACATGCCGCCATCTGACAGGGACACGTTAGGTATCACATAAAGTTTGCTGTATCCGATGACATTGCCCTCTGGGCGCTCCCACTTGTATTGCACCTGTCTTGGTGTGACTTCCTCTGGTAGCTCAACTGAACAATTCAGCACCACGCGGCGTCCAGCGAACACAGACCATTGACGCACGAATGTCGGTTGTGCGGGTCGAATGATTCCATGCCACGGACGATATTGGGCATTAGCAAAAAGGCAACAAACAATCACAGTAATCAAATGGCTAATGCTCATTGAATGTGTTCTTTCAAAGGAAGAGGAGAAAGTGGTTCAACGCTGGACCTGAAACAGAATTTAAACGTAATTTCGGGCCCACAGTACACCCATATTGACGAAATTTAAGGTCGCTGTGCGACGCACAGGCTCGTTCATCAAAGGCCGGCACCAATCCAACCAATCTGTCTGTACATCCATCCGATTGAACAGGCGGCCTGATAAGCCACCTGGTCCTGGTTCCACTTAATGCTGAGTCATTCCCCATGCGCTTAAGGGAACACTGTTTATGGTAGAGGATGGGCTCGAATTTTGCTGCTATGGCCGAATACGCGGCAAAAACAACCATTTACACCTATTGCTAAGTTACTACTGGAGTTTCCTTAACGGATGATTAGTACAAAATTGTAGGTTCTATTTTGCACTTGTTAACGGGGCAAATATGATATCGAAAGCTCCAAAGCAAATCCCATGCAGAGAATATTAGCTAATTATTATTCGCTTTATTTCTGTAGTATGCAAAAATGTGAACTACCCACATAGTTGTAATCATTATAACTAACATATGAATAACACAGAATGATTGCTTAATTGCTTTGTTTCTCTTGACAGTAAAATGTGTTTTTTAGCAATACCACGGTTACGCAAAACGTGAGTAATAGTTAAAGGAATGCTAACACAGGGTTCATGTTGCCTAGAGTCTGACCATCCAATCAGTAAAGGGCAGTCCTTTTCAAATATGGAAATTAGACGGCGCGAGCTTAAGCTATGCGTTGTACTAAATCCAGAGTCATGGGAAAATAGTGCGCGTCTCCTTTATGAACGGCGAGCTGAACATGTCTAACCTTCCATAAAATAGAATGTAAGTGTGATCATGAGATATCGCTTAGTTAACTGGATTTGGCCTCGGCTTCTTTTAAACACGTTAAAGTTCTTGGCAGATATTTTCTTGTATGCTTCAGACTTTAATAAGTAAACAATAGTACACAGCCTTATATGAGAAAGCACGCAGGGAAACGCACACCTTATACGATGAACAATCTGTGTCACTCTACGTATCAAATTAAGGTCAATGTTAAACGGTCCCTGGTAATATAAGCAGTATGGTCTTATTAAGGAAATACAAAAAAAGAATAACAGCATCATTTGCAAACAAGCATCATCTAAATGTCGGTTATGATTTTGAGATATGCTTTATCTCGGCTCTCTTAACTGTGGCTGGTTTGCTTCTGTATTATTTCAGTCGGACAGGTGATTGCTGCATTACACTGGATATGTTTTGAGTGCGAACCAGAGGTTGATTTGTAATGAATGCAAGGATTAAAAAATGCTTCCTAGCTTGTAACTGCAGAGCTGATGGTTGACTATTAGGAACCAAATTAATTATGTTGAAAATTTCCCAATGTCCGTTTCTGTGTTCCACATTATGTTAGCTTAACCTGAATATTTAATTCAAATCCTTAACTAACATATAGTCAAAACAGCAGTAAAACACTGCAGCAATACGCTTTTATTTTACACACTTAAACCGTCGTGGTTACTTTTAGCGTGATTAAATAAACTAACTTCTGCGTGGAATTCTGAGTCTGATGCGGTTCACGAGTGAAATGTAACAACGCTTGTCATTTAAAAACGGGGAGAGATTTGAGTTCCTGTATATATTATAGCCTAAATCACCCTGTACCTAAATCCGTGAGATTTGATTTGACTGTTTACAGACGGTTTCATAAAGGAAAATTAGTAGATGCGTTCCGACTTACGTGTTTTTTAAATTTCCTTGTACTGTCCACAATATTACAATGGGCAAGTTAACTAAAATAATAATTGCTAAATGAAACGATGCATATGTGAACCTTGGCGTTCGAATGCTGATGAGTAACTTTGCAAACCTGAAAAATCCTGCTAGTGAAAGGTAATTGTTCAGAAGATGTGTCATTGCTTCGTAAGACTTCCGATCTGCCCATGCGGTCCCCTTCAGAGAATTAGCGTCCGTCATTAATATGGGTCAAGCAGCAAAAGTATAAACACCTGATCAATTTTATCTAACAAATAATAAACGAAAATTAATAATTTACCACCATCATCTTAGCAAAACAAATAACTCCATCCGATGATTATACTTAATGAAACTTAGTGCTTAATCAAGAAATCTGCGTAACCATCCGCACCCTCTCAAAATATGGATCGACAAGTGCATCTACATCACCTTCCTAATGGAGAACCTGATTGATTTAATGGTTTTCCTTTTAGTATTTAATGCATAATTATATAAAAGGTATATTCCTGAATGGGCAATGTGCAAACCAAATGATTTGCCCGGTCAAATGCAGAGCTATATGGTTTTTGATACCCACGCATTGAGTTTGTCGATGAAAGAGTGTGAGTAGGCTCTGTTGATAAAATGTGACTCCCATCCACATGCCTCGCGGTCTTATTCCTTCGGCTTTACACTGCATATGGGGTGTATGGTTGGAGCTGTGGTTAGTGCAGCGCCAGCCACCCGTCATCGCTCTGTAAGCGCATGTGTCTTGTGGCTCTCCCCATGGAGGCTACAGTGACAGACTAATCCGAAACCGGGTGCTGCCAAACATATCTGCCTACGTTTACTGTGGTAGCCGCTGCTTGAGTAGATCGACCAATTTATCGATGAAGACATCTCAATTTCTGCCTCGCTCTGTTAAGCTATGCTCCCTCACCCTGCATCAACTTAGCCCACATCAACTATCTATTTTCTGCTTTTGAAAGCCTGATGAGATTTATCCAAAATTGTGCTTTTCATAACTTTGTGTTTTAGCAATTTGAGTTCCGATAATATTTCACGAATCCACTTTATGCTTTTATCCTTTGCATACTGGAATAGATAACATTCCATGCATTTGCCTTTTATCTATTTATTTGTATTAATATTTGCGGGGTGTTACTTTTGTGTTTACTAGTTTGGAAACAATACATTAGACAGTCGGTTCAGAATCAGTGATACAACAAGAATTTTAGCACTAAGTCGTTGCAACCGTCGGTTAAATTCCGTAGACTGGTCCCAACAACACTATTGAGTACCCAGAATACGCATTCGTTTTTATCATGTATAAATCCTTTTTAAATGCTTAATGTCAAAATAATGGTAGACACATGCGAGGATATAACCGCTTTCGACTGTCGAACATATTGAAGCTGGTAAGTGCATGAAGGCCAGTGCACATGACTACAGTGTCATAACTGAGAGCCGAAAATTACAGACGACTCACTGCATACTTTTCTTGTCTTAACTTTTTACCGAAGACAGGTTACTCTTGTCAAAAGTAAATGGGCATGCTAGTAATACGTACTTCCTCTTTAGAAATATCCAAATTTATTTAGTCTTTTAGTTTCTAACTGAGAATGCTTTTCGCACTGCACACCGAAACAACTGAAGCCTCAAACTAGCTTTCAAATATGCACGATACAATTTTAAGGAACTACCCACCAGTTGAATCCTGCATACAGCCGAAGAATCGCGGTAAGAAAACGGCAAACCGTTCCCTCTAAATGTTGCTTCATAGGTTACATTGCAGACAAACGATTAGCGGGTTTTATTCATTGTAGGGTATTAGGTATGTGATGAGCTCACATAAAAAGTATTTGTTCCAATTTTAAAAAGTGACATTAACTTTGGAATCTCTTAAAAATGAAACTTTTTTACTAACGGACTTGTCATGTAATTTCAATAGGTCGTATCGCTGTTCCCTTTAAGAGAAACGATTATTGCACAGCGAATAAATACAAAAATTATAAGTATGCTTAAGAAGGGGTCTTTTTCATAACAATATTGCAAAGACTGGAGTGATTTCTTGGGTTGCATGCTTATATGTATACATATATAGGCAGCGGTCAGTGGAAAATCTACAGAAAAGTTACTATTCCAGGAATAAAATCTATGCTTTAGTTAGTACTATTCGTGATTTGGAATTCAGCTTTGCGTTATGGTAACATGTGGCTTTATGCATAGAATTCAGAATGCAAGGACTAAAATCGGTTGCATGATAAGCTGCATCAGATTATTGGTTGTGAATCGAAAACCGTGTATATACCTTTCGTTAAATGTCTAGTTTTCCTAAATATATAATCATGGTAGAATTCTTTAAATGAGTTACGGTGGTTAAACGTCATTTGGCGTTAGTCAACATTTCTCCTAGAGGAACTTGGCTACCAGCACCATAAAGTAAAGGCGTGATTGGTTTCTACCTTAATCTAAATAAAGAGATTGAGTTTCATTCTACTAATTATCTAAGCTTCAGCAAGATTAGATGGATGAACGGTACACCAACCATTTTCTGAGTAATTAGTTTGGGCATTCACACAAAACATTCATCATATGTTACGTGATAAACCTAGAATGCTTCTCTGGAACGTTGCCATAAGCTCCTCAGAATAGGCCTTTAAATCATTATGTGCAGATCCATCAAAATATTACCAAATTATTCTCTAACGCATTATAGTAAAGGATATAGATTCCTTTGCAAAGTTGATTGAGAACCGAACCTATCAAGATTGGCTTTAAACAGCAAAATTCTAACAAATATAGAGCTACAGGTTCCGTCGCTTCATAAATTTTATCCGTTCATTGGAGTAAACAAAATGAGAATGTTACCTCATTCTGGTTTTCTTTAAATATTAGTGTTTTAACACGAATTTCGAAGAACCGTTTGTCAACCGTTTTCCTAAGTTATTCTTGTTTGCGTTAAGGCGTCAAGCCCAGGGTTTCACGGGCCTCTATCTTTCATCTAAAATCAGAGGGAAAAGTGTGGCCATGGACATATCGCCAAGCGTAACTTATATGATTTGTTTATATTTATTAATGCCGGTCTTTAGTGCGTATACCTTTACAAAATTAACTTGAAATCGCATTTTTACCTTTTTCCACAGCAACCGGGTTTGTACCATATTTCTTGTTAAAATAGCTGGGATGCCATGGAAAGGATGCGCTGGAAAGCTTACACAATGCTGAGTAACATAAAAACATTGAGTTAAGGCTGTTGTTATTCGTTTTAATACTGACATTTTGTAAGTATGCCACGTACACCAATATCCGACGAGGTAACGTGGCAGGAAATGCTTATTGACGCAGAAAATATCAAACAGTTCCGAGATGGAT